GCCGGGGGACTTCAGCCACTTGCAGCCGCTGGAAACCCCGGTGCCCCGATTCAAGGCATGCGATGGGAAGCCCACAGAAAGCAGGGAGCCACGGTGCTTTCTTTTTTATAACAGCCAGAAAAACGGACAGCTTGAGAGCGAGCTGAATGCCGGCCCCCAGCTGCGCCCGAAACCTCCCTCCCGGTTAAAGAGGCAATGAATAAATGAAAATATGAAATCGTCTGCAGCCCACAAAGGGGATGGGAAGCACTTAGGTAAATGGGTACCCAGGGTGCCCCGCTGGCCTCTGGCTGCCGGGCTGCTTTCCCACAAAAAGAGCTGCTCTAACACGTCTCGAAGGCAGCGGGGAACGCGGACACCGGGACGGAGCAGGCTTTTGAAATTCAGCCTTTTCTTCTCGGTGTTTTTCTGGCTGCAAAGGTATTTTTCACTCTCAGCCAGAGCGAGGCGGTGCCGTTTGCTCCTGCTTCATCCCTGGGCAAAGGGAATTGGTGGCGAGGTGACAGCCGTCAGCAGAAGGACTAAAAAGGGGGATTTAACCTGCGCGGGGGCCCGGCGGCCGGAGCACGGCCACGTGCTCGGGCCACCATTGTGGGGATGGCGGTGGCCACGCTGGCAGGCGCGGTGCCTGGCCGCGCTCCTGAATGCGGGAGGAAAACCAGCAGCGAGGCTCCCTTTGGGGAGATTTCAAGGCGAGGATTTTGAACATACGACTTCAAAGGGCATGAAAGGGGAAGGAAGCGATGGCTATCAGGAGACGGGTTTAACCACATTAAAAGAGTCATCGCCCCCACTGAGACTTTGGCTCCATCCAGCTTTGATCCATTTTTTATCCATATTTCCTTTCATTTCTCCCCTTTTGTTGGCGCACGATGAGGGAATCGATACCGGAGCGAGCGATGCGGAGGCATGCTCTGCTTGTTAATCCCGTCCCCGAGCCCGCTCCGAAGCCGCGCGCCCTGCCTGGCCCTGCCGCTCCCGTTCCTGATCACGCTGAGAACTGCGACGAGAGCTGCTGAACGCAGCCCGTGATCGCTCCCAGCCCGACCCGCGGGGCGGTTGGGACACGAAGTCCCGGCGGTTTGAGCAACCCAGCTCGGCTCGCCCAGCAAAGCCCCCGCGGCCAGCGCAGCCCCCGTCCCTTCGCCACCTTTCAGCTGCCTGCTCCCAAATGAGCCACGTCTCCAAAATCTGATCTCCCAAAAGCTCTCAAGGCAGAAGGACTTTGGGTTGGCGTTTTTTTTTTTCTTTTTGCCAAGAGCCTTATCCCACGCTTCGGCCCGAGACAGCAGGGACATTTTTGTAAGGGTTGGATGGACGTTAGGGGAGGTGGCAGCAGGGAAAGGGAACACCAGAGAGAAGGAGAACTCGCTGTACGTGACGAGAGCATTCATCCTCTTAAAATAATTAATAAATGATTAACAGCATAAATTACCATAAGATGTGTTATGACATATTGCAGAGACATTTATAAATGTCTATGGCTGAGTTTATAGCAGCCTTTACGCAGCCCTCATAAACTGAGGCGTGTAAATCAATGTGGCTGTCTCTAAATAGGTTAGAACACATCTTAAAATAATTTATAAGGGATAAGGCAATTTCTGTATGCCTGTATTAACAAAGTCTTTATAAATACAGTCTTCACCCAGGCTCATCCTAGTATAACTCAGTTACTGCATTAGACCCCCGAGAGACGATAAAATCGTTGTCCCTTCGCGGTGTCATTGGGGACACGGTGCCAACAAACCGGTTACCTGCCCCGGCCCTTCCCAGAGAGCAGGCGCTTGGCGACGCCTCGAGCATCGCCCGGCTTGGGGCAGCTCATCCACGTGCAAGGGAGAGCGCGGAGCAACCGGCGGTGCCACAGCCTCTGGGCGAGCATCGCTCCCAAACACCTCTTGGTGTGCAACGCGCCCAAGCACCCATCGCCGCCGGGATGTGCTTCCCCACCCCCTCTAGCCCCCGGCGCCCAGACGAGATATAAGGAAAGGAGAGGCAGGAGCCCCCCTTACCTTTACAGGCCCCGGCGGCTCCCAGGTGGTAGATGCCAGCCAAGATGCGCCAGATGGCCGCCTGCTCCTCCGCCGTGATGCCCAGCGTGCCCAGGGCAGCCCGGAGCTGGGCAAAAGCCGCCGAGGCTTTCTGCTTCTCCTCGGGCTGCAGGCGGGAAGAGATGGGAGAGGAAACGTCATTGCCGAGGCCAGAGCATCCCGGGCGCCGGCACAGGGATACACACAGGGGGAGGCAACAAGGCCTGTGGAAACCATATGGCCGGCAAGGAGAAGGCAATAAGAGACTCCAGGAACAGTTTGGACAGCAGCAGGAGAAGCCCCCGGCAGGTTCCCCAAGAGCCTGGTATCAGGAGCAAGCCTGGGTGCATCCCGCTGTACACCACCACGCAATTCCCACTTCAGCAGCCTCCAGGGAAAGGTTAAGCAGCAGCTGGAGGTCGATGTTTTATATCTTCTCGCTAAATGCACCCACCCACAGGCATGCTGGGGCCGGCTGAGCAGCTCCCAGCCACCAGCAGGACCTCATCTGTCCACCTCCAACACCGCGGCCCCCTCCACGATGCCGGCAATGTTTTTTGCACGTGCAGCCCCACTGCAAAATTAGGGTTTTTTTTCCCCTGAATTGAGGATTTTCAATGCAGGCGTGTGCAGCCCTGGGGCCAGACACCGCAGCCGGGCTCCAGCGGGCAGCATCCCTGTCTTGGCAAGGACCAGCCCACCAGGTCTAAAGGATTTTGGCTCCTGCCGGGGCAGGTACTAATAAGAAAACACAGCTGAGCTCTGCGATTTCTCCAGCCTCAGGTACCCCAAATACGTGTGACACCGGTGCCACAGCAGGGGTTATCCACCCCCACCACTGCAGGGATGAAGGCTGGGATGCCACCAGTCAGCATCCAGAGCACTCTTCAGAAAGGAAAATCGGCCAGATCTCCCCCAAACTCCAAGCCAAACCAGATGCAGCACATCACCACTCAGGATTTCACCCCCCTGGGGAGCTTTTGGGTGGTTCACCCTTCCACGCTCCTGTCCCCAGTGTCCTGGGGGATGGACAACCCATGCTGAACCAAATGGCCAAGCCTGGCTTTCCAGGGACACATGTGTGCCATGGGGAATGTCACTGGTAAGGAGAAGTGCTGGCGGGGACAGTGCCTGCCCCCTTCGCAGGGCGTGCGCGAGGTGCTGCCCAGCTCCCACCGCCCCTCTGCATCCCAACGGGAAAAACCCTCCCTGCTGGGATGGGGAACCCACAGGAATCGGGGGTTGCAAAAAGAGAGTAAAACCCCATCTCTGAACCCACATCTGCTGCTGCATGGGCAGGGCGAGGACCCACAGCACCTCGCGGCTCATAGGCATCCGCCGCATCTTTGCAAACGGCTCAGGCTAATGAGGAGCCAGTGCTGGAAATCAAATGCAATACTTTTAGTCCCTAAAAATTGCATTCTGGGCTCTCCAAAGGATGCACTCGCCCCCCAGGAGCTGCTTCCACAGGGAAACAGCAGGGGTTGTTGGCCCCGGAGCAGCAGGCTCTGTCCGCGGGGTGGACGGGGGTGTCCGAAACCCAAGCACGGACACCAGGAGGCAGCAGCCCGGGTGCCCGCAGCTCCCCTGCTCCCGCGGGGCTGTCGGAGGGGTGCTGGAGGTGGTTGGGCAGACCCTTCCTCACACCCCAACACTCGCTCCCACCCTCCATGCACCTCCCGAGTCACCCAGCAGCCCAGGACCCCAACGTCTCCTCCAACCGGGGGTGACGATGGGCGTGCGCTGCAGCGTCCCGGGGCGGGCGGCTGCCCGGCTCTATCATTTCTCCCTACCTTCGAGAAGGGCTGGATCCCGAAGGAATTGCTCTCAGCCGCCTGGTGCAAGTGCAGCGTCGTCCTGGAAGTCGTTACAGAAAATGTGACTCCAACTCCCTCCTGTCCCCGGCACTCCCAAGCCCCTGCCCACTCCAACACCCGCAGAGCCCCTTTGCCTTTACGGCGACATCCAAGGGGCCTCGTCGGGAAAGGCTCCGGTGGCTCTGCCCCGGGCAGGGGGACAGAGCTGGCACCAGACAGGCCAGGAGCCTTCGCCCAAGGCAGCCTGGGGACATGCAGTTTGTGGGGAAAGGCAAGAGTGAGCAGGGAAAGGGCCCTCTGCCTCGCCTGATCAGCCCAATTTCAGTTTCAGTGAAGGGGCAAAAAAAAGCACCAGAAGATGCCCCCATTTCCTAGAAAATCTCCACTACATCAGCGCATAAAAAGCCCTGCAGCATCACTAATGCGATCACCCTCAGGACCTCTTTCTTATCAGAGAGGTCTCAAAAGCCACATTGCTGGAGCAAACATGGGCATAAATCAGGCAGGAGCCCCTCGGCGATGGGGGTACCTCTCAGCTGAGCACCAGGCAAGGAGCGGAGCCGCCCGGTGCCATGGGACCCCCACACCCACCTCTGCGCCGCAGCCAGCCCCGCCAGCATCAGGGGGAAGATGTTGAAGCTGCTCTCTCCGTGGGGCTGCAGGGCGACGCGGCCCTTCTCCAGCAGCATGGTCTGGGGGAGGGAGCGGAGGCAGGCGTGAGCGGCGGCCCCCAGCCCCCCCGTGCAGGCAGGGACAGCCTCCCCATGCAGGCAGGGTGCCCAGGCAAGCCGGGCACACTGGCAAAAGAGGGGACAGTGGTACCCAGAGACAGGGAGATGCTGCTGGGGGCTGTCAGGGAGGGGCTGGGTTTCTCCTCGCCAGGCCATGGCTGGCTGGGGAGGAGCCATGTCCTGCAGGTGTGCAAGCAAGAGCCGAATCGCGCCCCAGGTGTGCACCAAGGGGCAACATTTCAGCGCATGGGTGCAACACCCACAGTCCCCCCACCTGCAGAGGTCTGGGCAATGCGATGGCCCTGGCAGGGATGCTGCAGTCCCTGTGTCCCAGCAATGGATAAGCTATTGCCTGGGCTTGAGACAAGTCTAGATCTGCCTCCCGCCTTGCCAAGGTTGTTCAATGCCAGCACGAGGACCCCCCCAAGTTGTCCTGCCCTCCCACAAGCACCCCAGGAAGGTACTAATGGCCCGGAGACTGAATGCTCCCAGGGGCACGATCCTGCTCTGGTTCAAGGACGGCCACGACGGGCCATCAGCTCCCTGCCGGTACCTGGGGCAGAGGAGGGCCAGCAATGGGGCAGCACTGGGAAGCCCTGGTGTTCCCCATGAGCAGACACCAGCTCAAGCTCTCTCCTCCATCAGATGGGGCGCAGGGCTGCGGGCAGCTCAGATTAAAATGCCTTTGCAAACAGCCCTGACGGTGAGAAAAGCCCTCAGAGGCTTCTGCTCAAGGCAGATGAGGAAGGTGCTGCTAATGAAATGCTGAATTATGCATTTCCCAATAAATGTTTCACTCCAGCACTGTTCTGTGCTCCCTGCCGGGGGGGGAGGACAGGGGGGGACAGACCCCACAGCCCTGCTGACAGAGCTCCTGCTCAGCTGCGATCTGGGGGCACCTCTGGTCCAGGGGAGAAGCAGAGCAGAGCATCGCTCCTCTAGCACCAGCCAGGCTGGGAAGCGGCACAAGGGCTGCTCGCCCCCGTCCCAGGGACCTCCGGGCTCAGCCACAGCCCCCCAACCCGGCCAGGCGACAGGGCCCGTGGGGTACCTGGAGGTGGGCAGCGGTTATCCGGCCGGTGGCGCTGAAATCCAGAGACAGGACCATGGAGAAGCGCGTGGAGCTGCTGCTGTGGCCGGTGGTCACTGACCCAAAGGCTCCCAGGACTGTGAACATCGCCTGGATCTTCTCCACTGCAAAACCAGCACCAGCAGCCCCCTGAGCCACCCTGCAATGGCTGTAGCCCTGCATCGCTCTGGTGCCCGCTGGGGGGGAGCCAAACCACGCCACTGCTGCACCAGAGCAGCCTCAGGGCTGCAAACAAGTGCTGGAGGAGGCTTCTCCTCCTGGCTGCACCTCTGCTGGCTCCTCCCGGGGCTCTGACCCAGCGCACAGGGACCTGGGCACCAGGGTTGTGCATGGGCTTAGCATCCCGCACCCCGAGAGCACGCGTGTCGGCAGCAAGGGCACGTGCCAGCCTGCCCACACCTCCACCCTGCTCCAGGCCGCTCATCAGCCCTTGGCAAGAGCTTGGTGTACCCAGAGCTCGCTCCGAAATCCAAACCTGCCCTCTAAGGCTACTCCTTGCTTAACAGAGCTTCCTCTCACATCACCAGTAACCTGATCAGATGTGACAAGTGCTGCCCCAAACACGCAAGTAATTCCTGTCTGGTGCTTACTCGGGTGGTTATCAAAATAGCAAATCTGTTGGGTCTGGGACAGGTAAGAGGCAGGGGCACTCACAGCCCCGCTGCTCGCCTGCCCCCCCGGGCTGCAGCCCCGCGGCCCCGCCAGCCCCTGCTGCAGTGGCACAGCCGCATGGAGCCACCCCAACGGAGCACGAGTCAGACCAGGAACGCATCAGATGGAGGCCGTTGGATGGAAAGAGCATCACCTTCGTGCTTGCGTGCACTCCCTGGCCTGCACGGGCACGCTCTGTGCACTGACGCTGCCCAGCACCAAGCACCCCGCAGCCCCAATGCCAGTGCTCGGTGCATCGCTGCCGGGGCTCGGAGCTTGCAGTGGCTGCCCAGCCCCATCCCTGAGACCCTGCCATCCACCCTGCCCCCCCTGCCCCATCCCTCACTGCCCACCCTGCCCCATCCCTGAGACCCTGCCATCCACACTGCCCACCCTGCCCCATCCCTGAGACCCTGCCATCCTCACTGCCCACTGTTCCCCGTACCTGAGACCTTGCCATCCACGCTGCCTGCCATTCCCACCAGGTACTCCAGGGCGCTCTGGCAGCACGTGGTCTTCCCAGCCCCGCTGCGCCCCAGGGGCACGATGGCCTGATCCTGCCGCTGCATCAGCAGGTTCCTGTAGGCTCTCTGTGCCACCGAGAAGATGTGCGGGGGCATGCTGTCCCGCTTCCCCTTGAACGCCTGTGGGCAGGACAGTGGGAGGGCACATCCCAAACAACCCTTAGAGGTTCTCTCCTTGTGGAGAAAATCCTGAAGACATGTCATGCTCATGGCGATGGTTTCTCCCCAGGGTGCAGATCCCACCCCCCCAGTTCCCAGGGAAAGGGGAAACACTGCCCGGCCTGGCCAGCCAAGCCTTGCTTGCACCAGCACCAGAGGGAGGGTTGGGGATGGATGCAGGGAACCCGCAGCAGGACCTGCTCCAGATTGTCTGTGAGCAAGAGCTCTGCCAAGCGCCACCCCAGGCACTGCACCCCGAGCCCATTCCCTCCCCAGCCCTGGCACCCCTGAACCACTCGGGGGCTGCATTCACAGCAACACAGCTATTTTCTTCTGGAAACCAGGAAAACTGTGCTAGGAGCTGTGCCCAGCTGCAAGCACCCCTGGCCCTGAGCATCCCCAGCCCTAAGTGTCCTCAGAGCATCCCTGGCCCTGAGCATCCCTGGCTCCGAGTGTCCTCAGAGCATCCCTAGCCCCCAGCATCCCCCAGAGCATCCCCAGCCCCCAGCATCC